AGAGAGAGAGAGAGAGAGAGAGAGGTTGTACATGATAGTATAGATACAGCTTTTCATTAAGTAATTTAATGTTATGTTAGCTCTATATTGTTATGAAGCCTGTTGTCATTTTAACTTCAATTTGCACCGAAAGAGTATGCTGCTACAATTTAAAGAAAAATGCGAATTTCCTGCTACAATGATAAAGGGGTACCTTAGCTGGCCATAGTTGGAATCAGTGATGACGTCTTTCTGGCCTAAGACTTGGACAATCTCCGAGTGCAGCTTGTTCTGAACGTCAGGGTGAGTGGCCAGGAAATACATGGCCCATGTCAACACTGGTGAGACACCAAGTACAATAGTTTTTTTTTACTTCAGTATTTTCTAGTATAGCTACACAAAAAGAAAGTTACAAGTAGTACAAGATATAGTATGACAAAGTGTGAAAAAAATAGCTTCCTGGGCATGCTAAGAGAAGCTTAAACAAACAGGTCTGCTGCTACTGTCAAGTATTTCAGGAATGTTTATGTTACTGAATTCCTTTGTTCTAATTTCTATGTTGAGGGACATTCTCATTTGGCTTAATAATTAAAAACCTTTATCAGACTCTTACAGTTCAAAGACACAATTGCATAATGAAAGTTGAAAGCGGTGATATCTGAGAACTACCTCTTTGAACAAATCACATTATTTAATTTGCTGTCTAAATAGGACACAACTAGATCTATTGAGAGAAGTTGATTTTTTTTTCCTTAAAAATGTGCTCTAGATTTCGCTCTTCGCTTCGAGTCGATCGTGTCAAGAGTTTCAATGATAAAATCAGTTTTACACGAGTGAAGTTTTGTTGAACTCATTTAAGAGAGCTGTGGCTCTGTGGTTGGGGACATTTTGCCCGGAAGCAGAATAGGGTAATAGAATTCTTTGTACACAGCAAACTCAAACCACACCCAACTCTCTCACTTTAAGGATTTAGACAATTATGGCTTATACTACTGTCCAGCTTGATATAAACTGTTTCGAATTGAAGCCTAGAAGCCGAAAACGAGAAATGATACAGGAAAACAAGCTCACAACAGCCACATCTACTCACAGTAAGCAGTTGTGTGAAATGCTCCAACCATGTAGGATATGACATCAGAAGTGAGCACATCCTCATCTGTCGTAGACTGCAGGATGACGTCAATCAGGAGCTGCTGGTCCTGGACTTTATTCTGTTGTCGTTGTTCTACGACCTTCTTTACCATCGTGTGCAGATACTGGAGAGCTAGAAAAGGGCAAGAAAATCAGATTCCCAATTTGTCGAACAATAAGTATGTTAACGCTTTTTATTTCGTCACGTGTAATCTTTACTTTAGTTAAAACTTTCAACTTTGAAAGCCGTCTGATACAGAAAACTGTCGATGCAGAATCTCTCACCCCCTTCCCCGCCCCTCCTCGAACCCTCCCGAGATAATCGTTACATGTATATCCAGTACTTGGCAACATAGGCAGACAATTAAAACCTTGCTTAATTTTGGTATGCCACAAAGTACAAACACAGATTTAATTCCCAATGGATACCCTACAAAAATAGCCAAAAATTGTTTTTAAAATCAGACAGAAAATGTGTTAGGTATATCTACAAGCCAGGGATATCAGAAAAAGATTACCATATAAATGCGATTCCACCCACATGAGAAATAAAAGAGACCACACATTCCAATAAATCAAAACTTGTCTCTAAACGGTTCATCATTTAGGATCAGCCAGTCCTCCAATTGTTACGTTATCATCAATGAGCAGAACGGGTTATGGCCAACATCTGACCCTTTCCTGCCATTCAACACATAGTCCTGAAGGTCATTGACATTGGACAACACAATATGATGCTTACTACATGTAACCAGCATGAGATCAGATACGCCTAATTGTGGTAGAGAGAATTTTATTAATTTTATTTCTTTGTTATTCCCCAAAGTCACAAAATGGCATAGTTGACAGAAGTTATCATTTTGAAATCAAACCTCATTTTGGTATGGGAGTTGAAAAAAGAAATGTGAAGGCATTGGTGGAAATGGCAAATTTCCTAAGTTTCGATCTGTTTCATACGTTGGAAATAAAGCACTGAGTGATGAAAAAGGGGGTGGGGTGGCATAATATGTCATACAATGGAGATAGTATCTTGGTTCACATGTAGTTTACCTTCCTGAAAAGACTTTTGCCTTGTATCATTTTTATCAGGAGGGACGGAGTCTGTAAGCTGGCGCTCCATCTCATCCCAAGCCTAACAGTTTAATAAAAATCTATTTGTTAGACATAATCTGAAAAAGTCATTGTACATGAAACGTGGTCATAGCGCGCAAAAAATTGAAAAAATCCAACCTCAGCATTGCAATGGGCTCATTAAAATAATATCACCTTGAGGCAGATTTGTGTCCAAACTGGTATCAGAAAAGATCAGATATATATACATATTTATTTTTTCCTCTTTTAGAAATATTGTTGCGCATCTGGCCTCTAACTTGTCAATTGGTTTTGTTCAGCACTGGAGAGATTTTACTATGGGACCATTATTTGTGTAGAATGCAGAACATACGAACATTTTTTATTATTGTTCCAATATACCCTTAAAACTGAAACTGAAGCGAGACTTTTGATAAACAACTTTCCTTTTTCTCGGGAGTATCTACCTTAGAGGTATTCTTTTATTCCTATCAGAGCGAGAGAAAATTAATATTTAACAATAACATGCCTAACTCATGCAGCTGATAGATCCAGTAACTTAGTCACCATGTCTCTGATACTATAATATGTTCGAAATTATAGAAAAGCAAAGTCATTATTTTCAAAAACAGTCCTTACAGTTTTGTATGCTTTAATGACACTCTGCACCAATTTCTCGTCATGGAAACTGTCTCCCATCAAAGTTGACAAAGTGGAGCGAAAGGAAAAGAATTCCATGTCCTCACCGACTGGCACATAGTCAGTCTCAGTTTTCAAAGACCACTTCTTCTCCACCATTGCTGCTATCTGATGAGTAAAGAGCAGAGACTCATTAGAAAACATCCAGTCACTGCGAAGTGCCAACTAAATTTAAGCTGTGAAGGCTACCTCCTGAGTTTGTTTTTTATTCTTGTGAACGTAGGCCCCGATAAATGTCATAAATATTGGAAAATGTCTATGAAAGTATAATATATTCTTTAAATCATGCAAGGATATCAAGCGAATTAGGCCTGCACTCACTGAAAAGAATAAATAAATGTTTATTTCTCATACTGTTCCCATGAAAATGGATTCAACAGAAAAGGAGAAATTATGGAAGTTGAAAGCGCCCCCCCCCCCCCCTTTTTCCTTTTCCCCGTTTTTATGAGAGCAGCTAAATCAATCCTCAGCAGCAAACTTTACTTTGTCATCTTTTACTCATTCAACGTGTTGATACGTCACAATGATAATTCGCATTTTTCCTGGCTGTCACAATACTGTGCTTTAAGACAGCATGAAGAGAGAGAAAGAGAGAGAGAGAGAGAGACAGAGAGAGAGAGAGAGAGAGAGAGAGAGAGAGAGAGAGAGAGAGAGAGAGAGAGAGAGATAGTGAGAGAGAGAGAGAGAGAGAGAGAAAAAGGGAGAGAGAGAAAGAGAGAGAGAGAGAGAGAAGACATTAAACGATAGGTTCGAAAGCAACCAGAAATTGTGCACATTCGCCCAAAGTAAGACAGTAAGATAAGAAAAGTAACTGATCTAAGAACAGCGAACAAAATTAGAGTATAAGAAAAGCGAATACATTCAGAAGGTGCGACGGAATGTACATCAAATACGAACAAAGAGTCATCCTATTTAGTTGCTTACCTCCTGTTAATTTAAAAAGAAGTCACAATGTTACCTCCTGAAATTCGGGGAAATATTTCTTCAGATTCTCATGAGAAAACGGGCGGTCATAAACCTTTCTCCTCCTCCGTGCTTCGGATACATTGGCATACACTATAGCTTGGCTTCCAAGCAGCGGTTCAAATAGCCCAAGCAGAGCAGCTGTACCATTGAAAATTATGTTAAAGTATTAGACAACATTGAGTATAAGAAATTTGCAGTTCAGGCATTAAATGTTTTTGATTAAATAATTAAGTAGACCTGTTCAGACAATGTTAAAGCTCGGCTCTGAAATTTACTCTAAGTCTGTCGACTCTGTAACGATATATCAGCATGCTGACATCATCATTTTTTTCTTGGTCATGGTTGTTGTTTTTTTGGTTTTCTATTTTTTTTTTGTACGGGGTTTTTCTTTTGTTTGTTCTGTTGTTTTGCTGTGGGTGGGTTTTTTTCTTTGCTTTCTTTGTTTTGGTTTGCTTTTTCGTTTTGATAACATTCTCTTTGTAACCGTATCGTGTTTTTATATCACTTTTATCATATGAATAGACTCATTCTTTTGTACATTGTGAGTTTCCATCCAAATCACATGTCCAATTGTGTGTCCGACTTTGTACTTATATAAGTACCGATTGGCATTTCTATGTCCCTAAGCCTGTTTATTGTAATAGTTGATTTTTTCTGAGTGCACCAATATGTCGAACTGTGTGTAATCTTTTAGTAAAGGTTTTTCTGAAACTCTTTGCGATTGTGCCTTACCTTTTTTTTGGGTAATGACATTGAGCATCTCTTCAAGATGAAATTAGGAATTATAAACGCTTTTTATTATTGCATAATTGAAATACGAGTTACGTAGGTGACAATAACTATGCTTTAGGTGTATGCTTGACCTATATAAGCCAATGCATGAGCTCTTGTTCATTATCTTCAGACAATGGCAAGAACTGAAATGGTTTTGGTTCTTCTGAGTCATACGACAAAAAGAAAGATTTCTTACAATTCGTAAACCCTATTTCAATCAGAAAGAATGTGAATTAGATACCCCCCCCCCTACAATCCCACGCAAGACGTAGATGTTATGCAAACATGTTGGAAGTACATTTTCTGTACAATCTATTGTCTTAAATTATGTTAATTAACCCTTATTTGAGAAGGGTGTAGTACTCTGTCTTTTTTATTAATTAAATAATAATAATAAGTAATAAATGACATTTATATAGCACTCAACCCCGAATGAAGTACACAGGCTCTGAGCGCTTTACAATACTGTACAACATACAACAGTAGCGTGAAACGTTTTGTTCTGACTAAAGAAAATTATTCCAAATATTCATCTCATTAATTTTAAAACAGAAACGACTTCAGCTGACATTTGAATTAATCAAAAGATTTGATTTCTCTCAAAGTACTTGGTAAAGCATTCCAGATCTTGGGGTCTTGGTATTCTGCGAGTTGGAATGCACAGTCTTAACAGATTTGATAAATATGATGATGCATTATCATTCAAACATTTGTGACATAGGGTGGCCAACTTGTACTTGTACACAATCCTTTTCTCAACAGGAAGCCAATGCAAAGTTCGTAAAAGAGGTTTAGCAGAGTTTCGCTTTCTTTTCCGTAAAACTAAACGTGCAGCATTGTTTTGGACAGTTTGAAGTCTTAACTTTTTCCAGTGATATTCCAGATTACAAGGAGTTACAATAATCGAGTTTTGATCAAATTTAGTTACTAGTAAAGCAGTTGGTATTGATCAGATGACGTATTTTACTAAAACATGGAAATAGTTTTTTTGGTACTCAGTACTATTTTTGACAGTCAGTAAATCAATAAAGGACTTACAATTTGAATTCACAGTATTGAACACTTACCAGGTTTGTCAAATGTATTGGCATGGGCTTTGAACAGTTCAGGTGAAGCAATGCTGACCACATAGGTCTGTCCCCACCAGAAACCAGCAATGTCTCCAAACTGACTATGTAGGTCGAGAAGAAACTCATGCAGACTGCCTGCACGAGCGATATCACTGAGATTGCCATCTCTGAAAAAGACATTTCTCCCTAACAAAACAGTAGTAGTTGCTATATTTAGTGACTGTAAAATGACAGCTTTCAATATAATTTTTCCATGGGAATTTGAGATTATTTTAGTCTGCTAGGGTAATAATGTAGACCTAAAAAGTTTGCTGTTGAGTGGGAATCTGCACCATACAAATACTATAACAACAACAACAACAACAACAACAACAACAACAACAACAACAACAACAACAACAACAACAACAACAACAACAACATCAACATTAAGAATAACAATAACAATAATGTAAATGATAATAAGAACAACAACAACAACAATAAAAATAATAATAATAATAATAATAATACATGTAGTAATAATAATGATAATAATAATAATAATAATAATAACAATAATAATAATAATAATAATAATAATACACTGAAATAAACATTCTGATATTGATTGTAAGTGTATTTAGAATGCTGCTCATTACTTAAATTAAAACTGGACAAAAAGAAGTGCGTTTTAAGAACTGATTTCAATTTGGATAAAACGGTCGCTTCCAGTGCATAGTATGCTGGAAATGCGCTCCACAGGGAAGAGGGGGGGGGGGGGGGGGGTGTTGTGTGAAAAAAAGCTCTCCGAGTCTCTGACTTGTACTTAGGACAGGCTTATAAAGTGTGTTTTTTGTGGCCGAGATAGAATGTGTTCAGTGATCATGTCTCAAAGAAATGATGTTGCAATGTTTCTGACACACTTAAAACAAAGGACAGCTATCTTGTACTGAATACGTTCTTTTATGGTAGCCTGTACAATTGGATTAACATTGGTGTTGCACGCTCCTTGACATATTTCTTAAGAAACTTTTGCGGGCAGCTTGAGTCTATTGTTTGGTAAGTGTTTATAACAGCGCTTGCAACTGCATAATAGTCATTATTATGAGCGTGCGGGACTCATTAAACATGTTCAGGTTTGTTAGGAATTAATTTTGAATTTTGCCCTGGTGGCAGCTGAAGCTTATTCTTATCGATTTGGGACCATTAAGGGATCTTTAGCGTGCACAACTTGCACATGGGACCTCCGAGCAGCTTGAAACAGAAGTCGTAGTGACCTGATCTTTTCTGCATGTTGAAGTTTTGCACCAGTGTGCTAAGAAAGGAACTATTAAATGTTTTACCCCACCTATAGCCTACGTCCCAGCACGTTTCTTTTTGGCATTCATGTGATCAAATTAATGAATGATAATCGAAGCCCTGCAATCCATTAGATATCAGTCGCAATATTATGTGATTGAAATCGCTTTCAGTGTTAGAGGTAGAGACTCTTGTTCAAGTCTGCAACTGCAGTTTGCTTTTCAAAATTTCAGGTTGTGTGCCACAGGTTTAGAAAATCCTTCTAAAACCTCTGTACAGGATCTCTAATAGAAATAATAAATTCACTATTACATTCAATCTCTCTGTAATAATTTTTCTCAGCAGCCAACTCCGCCCTTTTGGAGCAAATCCTTGTAAATAATCCTGAAAAACCACTGACGACTGAAAAAAAAAGAAAAAAAAGTGCGTCGCTAAAGGATGTTGTTTGACAGTAAGGTATACGTGGGCAGAACAAAGGTATTGTAACAACTCCCGTAGTAGATTTATACTTACTCTTTACGAGACGGATCAGGGCCAGGTATTGTAGTGACCATCTTCGAGCTCTGAAATTGAAATACAAATTACGGTGAAGGCTATGTTGACAGTATTATAATCAGAAATTTAAATACAAAGAGTCGTACAAATCTGTATACCTACAGCAAAGGTTGTTAGCTCTACTGCGCAAAGATGAATTGCTTTGTTGTTAGTTTGGTTGTTTTTTAAAGACTATTTTAAAAATTTAAACCAGTTGACTCGCTTTATCGCACAAGCTAACAAGACAATTACATAAATGTTGGTCTACTGTGAAGTGAAGTCAATTTTAAGTAAGAGTTAATAGGAAGATATTAATTCTTTTATGCAACAGCTGTTATTGGTCATGAAGCTCGTTCTTTTTACCAAGACTTCAGTTTTGAGTTATGCTATCATGAGACAGACAGACAGACAGACAGACAGACAGACAGACAGACAGACAGACAGACAGACAGACAGACAGACAGACAGACAGACAGACAGACAGACTGACAGAAAAAGAGTGGCCTCCGCTTACGAGCACACTTCACAAGAACCCTGTCCGCTTAAGAACCCACGTTTACCGTGTGAGCGATTTTTTTTCTTCATAAACTGCTTACATAAGAACCCTTCTGAAAAGGGAAATCCGCTTAAGGATCCGGTTTGAGCTAAGGCGAAAAACTTTTCTAAGCTGCCCTACCATCCTTTGTACGGGTTGGGGTAAGGAGAAGAGAACTGGTATTGACTGTCGTACAATTAAATATCTGCACTATATAACCATTTTCACGGAAAATATTTAGACACTCACGCAAACTCTGCCGAGCGGGTCAGTCGCAAAGGGGTTTTCGTTTGGTTCCATCCGGGGCCACTAGGAACAATCACTAGCACCTCTAATACTGTTAAGGGGGCTGGTATTAAATTGACGATTTTCGGTCAATTCATGGTATCTGGACTTTTTAAGTATTCCAATAATTTTTTACGTACTCCAATCATTTGTAAATCTAAAAAGTGCTTACTCTTTGTGTTACAATCATTATCTTTCAGATTTTCTGTCCTATAACTTTCATTTTGCCTATTATGTAACAAAATGTCGTTTTTTCTCAAAACTTCAATTTTTGATGTTTTTTCTCATCTACTTTTTAAAATTTTAATTTTAATTCCAATGAAATTTTCAGAGCTTGTTTTTCATACCATAACCTAACTTTATACAAATGGAAAATAAACTCGAGGCCTTCATAAGTGAGTTACCTGGATGATTGTGTAATCGAATTCAGAGGCATGAAAGGGTAGGCCAGTTATCCATCTCTAACTTTTTACCTATTCAAGATATCCAAAATCCCAACAGTATAGAATTTCGTATTCAGTATATTTATCAATATACCATATTTGAATGGTAAATAAAAAATCTTTTTTACTTTTATGAAAGCTGTTAGTATCAAATATGGCGCCGTTACCATGGCAACCGTAAACTTAAACAAAAAAAATGAAATTACATTTTACATATGTATTCCTGTTATACGTCCTTGCTATAAGGCTTTGTCTAAAATGGCCATAGTTACCGAGATAGGTTTATAAACCACCACCCCCCCCCCTTTAAAGCGTCCGATTGCTGTGTAATAGCGGGTCCATCTATGGTCGTTTTTTTCCTTCACAAAAGCACAAGCAGTGTTGCAACTAATGCTGTTTCACAATGTGTACTATTAAATCGCAGTGACAACGTATGTCATGAAAATCACTGTGTTAAACATTTGGTTCCCATTTGTTCCCCAAATAGGCACACCATTTAGATGTGCTCTTCTTCCCTCATTACACACACACACACACACACACACACACACACACACACACACACACATACACACTCACACACACACATACACACTCACACACACACACACACACACACACATACACACACAAACACCTATTATTTGGCTTTCATTTTTATCACATTTCTTTTTTATCTTCCTCGGGCGTCAGTATCACCCATGGTATAAACACGAGAAGCTAACGGTATGTTAAAGCAAAGTTGTGCGTATTGAAATCCGACTTAGAAACCGGTCCGGCCGAGATCCAGCTTTTACTGTCTACCGACGACTGGGCTTTTGGACGGTGACCCCTGACCCCCCCCCCCCCCTCTTCTCTCTCTCTCTCTCTCTCTCTCTCTCTCTCTCTCTCTCTCTCTCTCTCTGTGTGTGTGTGTGTGTGTGTGTGTGTGTGTGTGTGTGTGTGTGTGTTTGTGAGTGTGTGCGTGTGAATATATACATATGAGTGGGAGGAGTTATTTCCTTTTGTTGTTGTTATAGGAGGTGTCTCAAAAATCACCTAAATGCATTTCTAACATGCTAAGTGTTGGTTTACAATAGATGAGGGCAGCATTGTATTTGTGTGAGAGAGAATGTGTATGTGTTTGTGTGTCGGTTGGGGGTTGGCATGAAGATGTATGGGAGGCGTGGTGGGATGGGGTGGCTTTTGAGACAGACACCTTGTGTAATTAATCATTGACATTGTTTTGGGGCTTTGGATTGGATCTGTCCAGCACTGAGGAAAAAAAAACCGTCGTTTACCCACGCATTCTTTGGACTGTTACTTCACTCATGTAACTGTGTCGACTGATTGACACGCAGGCAGTGGGTGGTTGGCGGGTGCTCTGGCTTAGTTTGCTCCTTCTTCTCTATCAAACATTTATCGTCCTTATCTCTCCTCCTCCTTTTTGTTTGTTTGTTACTCTCTTGTAGCATCTCTAATCTTTGGCTCTTATATTACCTAATTGTGTTGCAAGGGCCATAAAACCCATTTTGAAAGCACACATGACCCACCGGCAGCTTGGCAGTGCAAATGGGCAGATTTAACTCCTTAATGAGGTCCGATCAGCAGCAGAGAAAAAGCAATGTCTCGCCACATGATGTCAAATCATTATGCACAAATCAGATACACGATTCTACATATTTCATAGTATGCAAGTCGTTGTAAGCTTTTAAAGTTTCCAATTTAAAAAAAAAAAGAATGAAAGAAAAACCAGTTTAAATTATGAAGTTATGCTCCCACAAACCAGCGCATCTTCATGTGTTATCAAATTACCAGATTGCATGTCCTCAATGAGTTAAAGACTAGAATTAACATGTGACCACAACAACTTAAAAATACTTACCCGATAGAGCATTTTTATAGCAACAAGCAAAACAGAAAAACATGTTAACGCAAAAATCACAAAGTCCAACATTCTGTCACGGCAGGTCGAAACAAGTACTGGGTGCGTCCTCTCACAGCAACTATCTTGAGCACGTCACGTTTTATCTGGGCCCGAGATTGCAGATTCTGTCCAGATCTATAGTTTGTTCACTTTCGTCTGACCGCGTTAAAAGAATTCTAACTCAATGAGAAATGTACCTACGCCCACGTCTAAAAAAACTCCATGTGAGTCTCGAAAATTACTCACCCCGTCTCTTTAACTTAAATCATGTTTCTTAGGTGAACGTTAAAGAGTGGTGTTGAGGAAAATATGTCAGCTTTAAATGTTTTAGGTGTTTTTCTTAAATCCTTTATTATTTTTTATCCGCTTTAGGCTTAGCCTACATCAAAAGAACACGTGTCGGAACCTTAGTTTGCAGTGACTTTTATGAATGAGCTTTCAGATTCTCTTAGTCATCCAACATTTAGATCTGTATGCAAAGATCCGAAAAGATTGAACAGAGCGATTTCCTTGTAACTTGTTTCAACAGTGGTCAGACGAAAGAGAACAAGCTGCTTGAACCAGAGTTTTGCGTTAGCCAAGTCGGTGTATGAAGACTGACAACCGAAATGTAGAGTAGTATTCCTTTGACCATGCTGTAGGCTATTCAGTTAATTAATTCCTGACGTGTTTGAATACCTTGGCTAATGCTTATATGTAGATCTATCCATGACGTTACAGAATATGCTTTTTAGATGGTTGATAATAGCTCTGTCTCATTGAAACAGCCTTTCCAGTTTTTATAGTAGGCTATCTTTACTATAATAAACATGAACACTTGTGCGCCCTCAGGGGAGGACAAAACTATCAAGTCGTAGCTAAGTATACCAAACTGCTGCTCAACAGACATCAGTATACGCGGGGGAGAGAGAGAGAGAGAGAGAGAGAGAGAGAGAGAGAGAGAGAGAGAGAGAGAGAGAGAGAGAGAGAGAGAGAGAGAGAGAGAGAGGTGCGATGTATGCATAAAGCTTCATTTGAATGCGACACTTGCCATCTTATTTGTATTCGAAACTTTGAACACAGTTTGTATATTATGTACCCCATAGATATGCAAGAGGCTACGCTCACAGTTTCAATCTATTTTTAAAAACATGAAAATGCGAGGTCTACCAAACGTAGTTTCCGAGAGGAACACACCAAACTTAGACGGCCAATGGATTGGTGAGGTAGAAGAAAACATTTATAAAAGAACTGTAAAAGTAATCTTGAATCACTTCGTGTGATGCGGAAAGATGTGGATAGATGTTCAGCTTACATCAAACCTAGGACCATTGTTATAGATAATCCAGAGGAGCAATTACCTGTAAGCTTACAGACTGGTGATCTTAGGATAAGAAGCGCACCGTAAATGACTGCAACTCAAGAATGAAGAAATATCAAACTGGAAAACAAGAACGTCTGTCATGCAGAGATTTTTATTTTTTAAATCTCTCTAACGGAACGTGGCAAGACACCAACTCACACGGAGTTTTCTAGACTGGCAACGACGTAAATGTATATATTTTATGACCATCTTTTAGCCCACATGTAATAATATGTGTTTACAGTAAAAAAATTTTAAAAAAATTTTTAAAAGAGGAAAAAAACGCAGGCCGGATATTGAATATTATTACTTTATTTATTTCAAGTAATCCCATATATTTCACCACATTATGCTAGGGTTCAGAAAAGCCTATCGAGCAAAGACTTAAAATCAAAACAAAATGTGCGCAAAAAAATCAGACTATGGATGTGGTGTTAATGAAAACGAGTAAGTTATTTCGATGAAAACCAGATAATCTGATAAACGTACTGCACTAGAATTGTTACTCATACAAGATATAACAAAACATTAACCATCGGTTTATTCCCATTATCTTTATAATTGTTAAGATACCTATTCATTTATCTTTCTTGTCCAGATCCTTGCAAATGGCTTGGCGTTTCACCACGTGTACACACACACACACACACACATACACACACACACACACACACACTCACACACACACACACTCACACACACACACACTTACACACACATACACACACACACGCACATACACACACGTGCACAAATATGCAGGCTTACAATCACATGTATAATATAAATGAGCAGCAACATAAACAACAATAATCTTAAGCTAGATATATACTCAACGTTATTCTGATGCATGCTCTTAGGTCGTATGAATACTTATACAAGAGGTAAGATGGAAGAATTTTGATGGATGATACTAAAAATGACCTTCGGTGTCTTTCTTTGTTACAGATCAGAAGCCTAGGTCTTTTACTCCTGACTGATGTTTTTATTTCAGGGAACAAGGGATGTTTTGTTGTCTAAAAAGATGGAATTAATGTTTTTAGTACAAGCTGTCATGCACAATTCATCCAAGTAGGGGAATGTAGATGTTGAAATTTTACATGCTTTCCGTATTAGTCGATTTGGTTTTTCTTTATCTTGTTGTCTTGTGTTCCCAGCCCATGCTGTTATACAAAAATTAACCACACATACTTCCTTTGGTTGAATGATAGAATGTCGTGCGTTTTAAAGAAGGAAGCTGTCCTTTCAATTAAAAAAGAAAAGAAAAATTGGAATAGATATAATAGTCGTTTTTATACAACCAGAAACTTCAGTCTTAAAGCAACCTTCCAAAAGTTCTTTTCTTCAGAAAAACCTATGAAAGGTGCAATCTCAGCTACAATACCCTCAAGCCGGGGGAAGTGATGTTCTTTAGTAGTACAGTAGCAGATTACAAATACAGACTTGTCAGTTTTGTTTGATTGAGTAAGAATTGATTGAAAATGACATTGACAAAAGCACACTAATCAAAAGTACAAATCTGAATATGAGCATGAAGAAAATTTGACGTCTGGTAAAGTACGCAAATATGCCATGCCTAGGGGTTGATTTATGCTATCATTCCTTCATCCTCATTATACTAATGCAATGGTATAATAAAATAATAGGCACTGCTTATCATACACAATGAATCTGAACGAAATATTGATTCCAGAGCTTAAGACATACCGCAGACTTCGGCTAATGGAAAGCATCCCCCTATCGCGAGCGCTTTTTAATGTAGGTGATTTACGTCCCCATCGATCACAAAATCCCAGCAAAAGTAAGAAGACCAACGTACTGGAGGTAGATTATCCACACACGAGAATTGAACAACTAAGACGTTCCATTTTGTCTGCGACGGCGAAGCCCCTAACCGCTGCACCACAGACGCCGGTACAGGGTACACATTGTAACGACACATTTTGTTTTTCCAACACTGCAACCCTGAACAAAGAAGAGCCACCCAGAGAGACGTATTCGGAACAACTTTGAAAGAAGTTTGATGTGAACCAAACCCAAAGGAGCAAGCACTGTCCTTACTTTCTTCAAAATAAATATGACAACAAGATTGGGCTGAGTTGCTTTCCGTATTTCACAAAAGTCAAGAGATTGGTGAAAAAGAAACGAAAAGAAAAGCGTTTATTATCATAATAATATTGCTTCCGGGTACCGTGTGAGCACAAGGACCTTAAGAGCAGAAAATTAGCTACAGTTCTGATCATTTTCTTTTAGAAACCTTGAGCCAGATTTCCTCCTGCGGATGAGTAACGAAACTGAAAGCAGGCTTCACCACCTGGTCGCCCCACATGCTCACTTCAAACCTGTGAAAAGTGAAACGAAGGCAGTGAGATCTGGTGTACTTGTAAAAGTAAAGTCGTATCCTAAGACCTGTTAAATGGAGACACTCGCCTATAATTGCTTTACGTATAAGGGTTTTACGACACTTGGAACGCAATTGGGTAATATAAGTGCTGAAGATTAGAGGTGTTTCATGAAAGTAACAAACATAATTAAAGGAGAAGAGAAAAGGATAAAAGATGCTTACTAGGAAAGAAGGAGCAAACCACACCAGAGCACCAGCCAACCATACGCTTTCGCCTGTTAAGGGAAAAAAAAAGAAGCTAGTTTTACATGACCCGGCTAGCGGCTGGATCATAACAATGATTTTTTTCCTGTAAAGGTTTTATTAGAAAAACAAACAGTAATAATGTTGACAACTTTACCTTGGGTCAAAAAACGGCCAGAGACAATGGTTACAGAATTGTAGTAATAGGAATAAGAACTGTCAATGAATCTTGCATCGATCGCAATCGCGTGAAACCTCTGACTCACCTTAAGTTGAAAGCCCATCCTCGTGTTTTGTTTGTTTTATTCTAATCAAAATCATTTTTATTAATCACCACAATTAATTAACAGAATCCCTAAACGATTATAACCTCGGATCCAACGAATTAGCTTGTAGAACACGCAATTGCTGATCGTCCATTGCGAAAAAACAAAAAAACTGACCAAAAAAACAACAACCAAAAAACTATAAATAAATAAATAAATAAGCGCCATTTAAGCAGTGGTGTCCCTTTTTACCTTCTATAGTAACCTCCCATACTCTTTTTTCCCCCCATCCTCTTTCCCTCTTTTTGCCGTTCGCTGTTATTCATGCTTGCAAATTCTGGTGAGAGTTTGGGTGCACGCAACCACCATAAAGAAATTTGTATATTTTAAATGTTGACACAATTTAGATCATTTAAGAGGCGGGCTTTAACACAATCTGTCAGGGCAAACCCGGGCCAAGAGGGATACAAAATCCCCGCAGAAAGGTCGAAAAAGTCGATGAAAGGTCTTCCAACTCGCGAATCAAACTCGGCAAAGTACCTACAACAGGCACATGTGTGTATTTATAAGTGTGCATCCGGTCTTTTAAAGACACAAAGAGAGAAAAAGAGTGGGATAATAAAAAAGAAAGAGACAACTGTGAGTGCGTGTATGTATGTGTGTGTGTGTGTGTGTGCTTGTGTGTGTGTGTGTGTGTGTGTGTGTGTGTGTGTGTGTGTGTGTGTGTGTAGTTAGTGTGTATTTGTATATGTGCGTTCATTTGTGTGAATATATTATTTGTACATGTGTATGAGAGTCTCGGAAAGAGAGAGAGAGAGAAAGAAAGAGAGAGAGAGAGAGAGAGAGAGAGAGAGAGAGAGAGAGAGAGAGAGAGGGGGGGGGAGGCGTGGAGAGACAGACAGACAGACAGACAGACAGACAGACAGACTGACAAAGCTATTCATGCGTGGGTAAGAGAACAGGGGTGATGAGATGTTCAACAATTCTTTGTACAGTAATTAAAAAGTCGTCATGACAAATTGAAACAAATAGAGAGAAAAAATGTCGCTTGTTTATATCAGGTGCAAACCATTTTTCCTGACCTATAACGTCAGTTCAATGCATGTTCATCGTTAAAATGTGATATTAATCGGTTCATTCTCTCAAAAGGTATTTTTCAAAACACTTTTTTCTTTAAACGGGTGTATATATAAAATTATATAGGTATGTATATATATATATATATATATATATATATATATATATATATATATATATATATATATATATATATACACATATCTCTCTCTCTCTATATATAAAATATATAATATAATTTCCAAGGAGCATGATAGTTTCAAGTTTGACAAGGGTCAACTTCGTAACAGTAATCTACTCACTTCCTAATAAGAGTGGCTATCAAAACAGTGCTCTCATTGTAGGCGAATTTATAGGCTGGGCAATTTCTCTTGCCTGCAAATCCAAACGGGGAAAATGCATACGTTTGGTGACTCTTGCTATTTTCAGTGCTAAACCGTTCTGGATCAAACCTGGAAAAAAAGGCAGGAAGAGACAATTTATTCCATAGATTTACATTTCCATGAAAACCAAATTACAAAATAATAAAAGTTTTAGAAAGCAGATTCGTCTTCTTTGCACAAGTGATAGCAGTCTACAAATTTAACCCCCCCCCCCCCCCCAAAAAAAAAAAAACAAACAAAAAAAAACCCCACTAGAAAACTACCGGCTTGGAATCTAGTGCTTGAACTGTCATATTAGAACGTGAGCTCACTCAACTACTTTTAAGCAGATTCCGAGTAATGTTCAAACCTGATGTCTATCCCATTAACAAAACAATTACAAAATCAAGGATACATGTAGTTCTCGTGAGGGAAATTGATTCTTGTCAGTTGCGCAAAATTTCGCTGTTACTTTGAGTAGGTCAGGAGAAGAGTTTCAATGACAAAAAAGATAATTCTTACACGAGTGCAGTTTTGTGAAACTCGCGTAAAAGAGTTGTAGCGAAATCTACTGACTAAATATACAATTTAATCACGATTGAGAGTTGGAAAACTCTACTTACTGACATAAAGTAGCTCAGAAAACGGGCTTTTATACAATTTTGTTATTATTTAAACTGTCCTGTCCATACCACCCCCCCACCCCCAGCCCCCCAATCCCTGCCTCAGCCATCAATCATGTCGCCTGTCTTATCACCCAATAGCTAAACATTTTTTAATCCCTTGCCCAAATATATGAGATTGACACCATCTGATTAGTAGAAAAAAGTGCATATGATAGTGTCCAATAGTGTATTAGTGCGCACTTGGTATGACAAGCAACTGTTACAGATTGAGATTCAAGGATTGTAGGTATAAATCATCGATCTGAAGGCAATGATGATTCTAGAAATAATGGTGGTAATGAGTGACGATGTTTGATTGCGTTTAAGTAATGTTAGCGTTAGTCCTATCTTCCTCTGCTCCAAAGAGTCACGAGGGACGACCCAAAGGTTAAACTGAAAGTCTGGGTCAGAACCAAGACATTCCCTTATTTTTTGTATTTTAAAAAACCCTTTTGAGCCATACCGGCCTAAACCGGCCTTCTCGTCACTTTGCCGTACCGGCTTTTAACGCTTTTACCGGCTTTTACCGGCTTTCTCGCTGTAGAGCCAAACCGGCTTTTATCGGCCTGACTAACCCGCGTTCAGTGTCGGCTTAGAAATAGAACATTCCACTCTACATTTACAAGCTGACTTCCCAGGTCTTTGTAAGTGAAATACCATTGAAATACGTCGCTTAGATCAAAAGCAAAAGCAATTTCTTTGCTACACCCCTGAATCTCCGAAAAAAAACTGAAAAAATTATGTTCTGGGAAGCCATCAGCGGGCCGCCAGTTTGGTTCTGTTGTTCTGACCTGCTGACCTATTTATAGTGCTAAGAAGGTCAAGCAGGCATAATATTTTTTCCATATTTATGTAATAATATAAACACTTTCTACATCTGAGATACGAGAGACTAATGGTATCCCCCCCCCTCCCCCCCAAAAAAGCAACATGCTTCTTCACCTGTTAACATTTTTATTTTTTTAAAATATTAGTCGCATCTTGGTCAACAGTGTGTCAAGAGAGTTTGTCCTGATTTCCTGGTTTCCTATATGTGGCTAGAAAGAGAAGTCTAGCGATATCCCGAGTCCACGAAGCCTGAACTGCGACAAGGCAAGGGAATAAAGACATATTGTTCCTGTTATCGTTCTATAGAAGGTGCTGAAATTCTATCTCGGTGCTTGCTGCTACTTTTAAAAGTAATTTTGCGTCTAAGCTCTGAATATAATAAGTTGGATACAGCTGATAGAATTGGAAGAAAACTTCCACTAGGGTTACATACTCAAGAAAAGTCAAAACGTAGATTTACCTTTGTGGAAAAGGCCACAGCTTTTCATCCTGTAAGACGACGCCAAAGGCTTGAATCACTGGAGTCTGAAGTACACAAACATGGACAAACAGTTGACATTGTATTCGAAGTTTTACCTCAAGCTACTTGTTGTCTATTATAACAGACAACAAACTCAATTGGCGTTTCCACACTTCTCTCCTGCATAAAAAATTGAACAAAATACTATTTTTTCTTTGAAAGCTTATGTATTTTAAAGTTGATAAAACATTGATGTCCATTTTCTATCATTCAACCATAGAAAGTATGATCAATTTCTGTATAACGACATGGACAGGAACACAAGACAATACGATAAAGAAAAATTAAATCGATTAATACGGAAAGCATGTCGTAAAATTTCAACATCTACATTTCCCTACTTGAATGAATTGTACATTACAGCTTTAACTTTAAAAAATTAATTACATCTTTTGGGACAATAAGCATCCCTTGTTCCCTAAAAAAACAACCCAACCCATGAGTCAGAAGTAAAAGACCTAGGCTTCTTATCTGTAAAAAAAAGAAAGAAACAGGTCATTTTTATCATCATAGATCAAAATTCTTCCATCTTAACCATCTTGTTACAAGCATTCATATGCATCAGAATAACACTGAGTATGCATATAGCTTAAGATTATTATTGTTTGTACTACTATTCATTTATATTATGCATGTGAGTGTAAGCCTGGTGTGTGTGCATGTTTGTGTGTGTGTGTGTGTGTGTGTGTGTGTGTGTGTGTGTGTGTGTGTGTGTGTGTGCGTGTGTGTGTGTATGTGTATACATGGTGAAACACCAAACCAATGTGCCAGAATCTGGACGATAAATAGGTATCTTACTTTATCTTATCTTATCTTATGTATCACTGTGCAATTAACTGTTCACATAACTTTATTAGAAATTCCAAGGTGATTGCAATTTACAACCCTTGTCCCTCGTAGCCATACAGTGTTAGATACTTACCAAAATTGTAAATGTTATTGCGTTTGGTCTCAGCCAGTACCATCGATTCTTAATGAATTGAGTGGGAAAAGTCAATGTAGCCTTCATATCTTAGACTTTAATATCCAGTCAGTTATATTGGATTGAAACTCACCCTATTTCGACAGCAAGATCAACATCAATGTAGACCTTTTTTCCTGACACCCTTGTCGTGAAGTATTCACAAGGTGAAATGTCGCAAAACTGTTTAGTCCCGCTAAGCAGGACACACTCCTTGGCAAATTTAACTAGTCAAATCTTACATTTTTGGGAACCTTGTGTCCACCAAGCTCAGAATCGACATCCTGGACCCGGGCGCCCCACGGGGCTATAACAGCACACCGAAGTGTTTCCTGGAGTACCTGGTGGAGATACCTGTTAAGGAAATTTAATAATCTAAAAAAAATTGAATTAACGAGTTGCTGTCGAAGGCAGTTCACATCCACAGTTCGCTTAAACAGTAGTAATAGCAATACTGAAAAGGTGCAGGAGGTGCAGACCCCACTAGAGCACCAGTCAATCACCTTTATAAAAAACAATTGACAAGAGAGAGGTAGAGAGAGAGAGAGAGAGAGAGAGAGAGAGCGAGAGAGAGAGAGAGCGAGAGAGAGAGAGAGAGAGGAGACAGACAGATATAAGGAGAGAGATAGAGAGAATGGAAAAGAGAGAGTGAAGGAGAGAGAGAGAGAGAGAGAGAGAGAGAGAGAGAGAGAGAGAGAGAGAGAGAACGAGAGGGCATATACAGATATACAGGGTGATAAAAAAAAACTGAACAACTTTTTTTCTGAATATCTCGCACAAACTTTTTTGTATTTGTTTGACATAAAATACACAAAGAAGAAACTTATTTTCGAAACCGGAAATGGTTTTTATAAAAACCACCTATAAATGCAAAATGCACCAATTAGAAAATTCTTGTAAGGCATGTCATGTAATGATTGGTTCGTCTTTTCCCCTTCCTTTCTTTTTTTAAAATCTAATTTGTCCATCCTTGTAACCTTTTAAAAACATCCGTTTCTCTTACAGAGTAAAAAAAAAAGTTTTTAAATTCTGAAATTCCGAGGACCAATCGTCTATATGTCCTCCTTTGGACTCGACACATTTTAACGCGTTTTCCGTAATGTTCAGTGGTGGCAAACCAAAGGGATCCACTCAACCAGGGGTACTCAAAGCCACACACAATGTACACTTTACAGTATGGAGCTGTTTCTAGAGACAATTGGGGGGAGAGGTTGCTCAAATAGACAGCATTTGTGGAGTTGATATAACCCGAAAGGTGAATATGGGTTTTTCCAAAGAACCAATAAATTTCATAAAGGACATGGGCACGTTTTTCAAGACGATCGAGGAATCATGAACACATTGCTATCCTATGATAGCTCCACGAACAGGAAAATGGTACAGAAGTAGATGAAGATCTGCCTTGAGAATACGGACAGTTGAGATGTAGGAAAATCATTGCTGCAGGCATCGTCTACGGAGACGTCTCATAGGGCTCATCTACTGAATTCTGCACCATGGTGACGTTTAAAGGAGTGCAAACGGTGTGTGTTTGACCTGAAATGGTCGTTTTGTCTGGGAATTGCTAGTTCTGATTTTCTACAGATCCTAACTGATGGGCAATTCCCGCCCTGGATATTAAAGAAGGACTTAACGGCATTTTAGCATTATTTCTGTACCTTGTGCGAAACTTACGGAACGAATTGGTGGTGAGGAAATGTTCAATACAAAAACATCTCTGCCCTTTACTAATCTTAAACAAGATATCAGAAGGCTAGGGAAACTTGAGAAAAACTATATTATTATGTTTGCCTGATAGATCACTGTAGTTTGCAATATGGCGCAATCGTTGGGATTCTTAGTGGTAGGCATAATGCGAACTAGTGCGTCATGTTACAAAAATGGGGACATAGCTGAAAATGGGTTGCTTTTTTACGCCCTGTGTAGAGCAAAACTATTTTGAGGATTCATCTAAAATGAATATCAAACAAATTCCTGTTGACTTCCAAATGTTGTGTACAGATTTGAAACTCAAAACTTCAGTGTGGAGGAAAATATTAACAAGAAATGTTGTACAGTTTTTTTGGGGGATCACCCTTTACTATGAGTCATTACGGTATAGATACAACTTTCCACTTCGTAAAAATGTTCGTTCTATATGAAAAGTGTTGTGTTTTCCTTTTCAATTGACCCCGAAAGAGTATGCTGCTAATTTTTCAAAAAATAATGCGAATTGCAAGCAGTAATGATAAGGGTACCTTAGCTGGCCAAGGTTGGAATCTGTGACGACGTCTTTCTCGCCCAAGACCTGGGCAATCTCCGAGTGCAGCTTGCTCTGAACGTCATGGTGAGTGGCCAGGAAATACATGGCCCATGTCAACACTGAGGCGACACCAAGAAGGGTGAATTAGTTGGTGTTTTTTTTTTTTTACTTTGATAAATTCTGGTACAGAAACACAAGACAGAAGGCTACATAGAGTACCAGATGTGTGATAAATGAACTTGTGGAAAAATAGCTTCCTGAACTTGATAAGAATAGCCTAAATAAACAGGTCTACTGCTACTGCCAAGTACTACCAGGGTTTTTCTGCTGCTGAATTCCTTTTGCCGAATTTCCAGCACAGAGTGTAGCTGTAAGAAAAGAGTAAAAGTGTATGCTAAACTGCATTATCAACAGCATTGTTAACTTTATGGTATAGGCCAAATTGATAATTCAACGCAAAAACTATGGTGCATGATATTATTTTTAAAAGCAAGCACCAATAGGATTGAAGCATGCGAGAGAAGAGCGATAGAAATACACCACCAGCTCAACCTCCACTCACCCCCTCTTTTTTTCCGATTTCAAACAATAAGTGATCTGTACCAGAATCCAGCATGATAAGAACTGACATGAATAGAATGTTGACCGTGGAAAAGGCGAAAAGAGATAAATGAAAATACGCTCACAACAAGCACATCTACTCACTGTAAGCAGTTGTGCGAAATGCTGCAACCATATAGTTTATGACATCAGCAATAAGCATATCCTCATCTGTCGTAGACTGCAGGATGACGTCAATCAGGAGCTGCTCATCCTGGAGTTTGCTCTGTTCCCTGTGTTCTACAACATGCTTCACCGTCTTCTTCAGGTACAGAAGAGCTTGAAAGTGGCAAGAAAATCGAACTCACAATTAGTCGTTAGTTTTAAAAAAATAATTATAAAAGAAAAGAAAAAAAGCTTTCTTAACGTTTTCTATTTAGCCACGTGTATTCTTTAGTGTAGTCATTTTGGAAGCGGTCAGAGAAAACAAAACAAAACTGTCGAGTTCGAATCCCCCCCCCCCTCCCAACTCCAAAGAGGACAGCTACATATTATGTTACCGTTATAATCCGAAACCTGTGCAACAGAGGGATAGAATTAAAATCTTTGTAAACTTTGAAAATTCAGTCTTGCTGGGATCATTTTTTTAAATCATTGTTTACCCCAAAAGAACAAACACAGCTCTCATTCAAAGTGAATACCTACCTGACAAAATTCAAAGAAAAATGCGTTAGGTAGAGTCTTTAAAACATGGATATCGAGTTTAGGTCACCATAGAAATACGATTCCACTCAAGGGGGAAAAAGAAGAGATTCCACATTCCAATCGTTCAGAACATGTCTCTAATCGGGCCATCAGAAGATGTTGTGTTTTATGAAAGGTCGACCCTTTCTCTCATGGTTTCGATACAATCAATGAACAGACGAGTCATGGTCAATATTATCTGAATCCTTCATTCCTTTACCTGCCACCTAACGCAAAATACGTGTGATTCTCTACATCAGACAGCAAGTAATGCTTACTATATTTGTGAGACATCGTGGTGAAATAAGGCGTTCGTCAAAATAGTGAAATCGAAGAAACGGGAATTTTCCCGCCAATTTGGCATATTTAATCGAATTTTTGTTTTTTGGCTTAACATCATTGCAGTCTAATTAAGAACACATTTCTGGGTGGATCTTACTGAAAAACGTTGGTTAAAGGCACACAAAAAGTACCTTTTCAGTTTCCACGGACTATCAAGCTATGGAAATAACCAAACTTGGCGATCATTTTCTCGCTAATTCTACCTTTGAAACCAGGCAACTCGAACGTCTTCAGTCTCAAATATCTCGACTTCTATTCAAGATAGATGGGCATTTTTCCCCGATAGTAAAAAAGCTGAACAAGCTTTAAGATTATACCAATAACTGCACATGCCCAAAAATTGACGAGCGCCTGATTTCACCACGTCGTGTCTCGTGACACATTTAACCAAAACGATCAGACACGCTTAATTGTGGTAGAGAGAATCTTTTTCATTCCCTTTAGTCACCAAAGAAATCATTGTTGACAGAAATTGTTATTTTGAACTTTTAAAAACCCTTTAGTCTGAGAGTTGAAAAAGAAAAGTGAAGGCGTTCGCCGAAATGATAAATTCAATCTATTTCATTCGGTGGAAAGCTTGGAATGAAAAGACCGAGAGGGGAAAGGGAAGGGATTACATGGCTTATAATGGAAGTTTTGTCTCTGTTTACAATAATAATTTACCTTCTTGAAACGACCTTTCCCTTGCATCGTTCTCATCAGGAGGGACAGGGCCTGTGAGCCGACGTTCCAACTCATCCCATGCCTGAAAATTCAGTAAAAATAGATCAAGAATTAACAACATTTTTGTAAGCCTAAATCTGGAAAAGTCATTGCAAATCGAATGTAGTCATAGGCCTACAAAACGATGAAATCCGACTTCGGTACAGCAATGGGTTCATTAAAATAGCATCACCATGAGGCCGATTTGGGTAAAAATGGATGGCAAAAAATATAGGTTTTAGAAACGAATTTTAATAGTACCAGAGTAGCTTTCCCTGTCTCAGAATCATTGTTCTGCATTCGTCCTCTGACTAGTCAGTTGCCTTTGTACAGTATTGGAGAGTTTGTTTTGATTTTTTTTTTACGATGGAGCCTTTATCATAGAAGAAAGTAGAGCACTTAAATGTCGTTTATTCATGTTTCAACTTAACCTTGACGCTGGAACTGAAACGTGACGTTTTAATAAACAAATTTCTAGTATTCCCATCAGAGTACGAGAAAAATAATTGTTGAAATATCCAATTTACGCAGCTCATAGATCCAGCAATTTAGTCCCTATGCCTCGGATATTACCTGGTCCACAGACTCGATAAAAAGAAAAACGCAAAGTCACCACTTACAAAAATAGTCCTTACCGTTTTGTAGGCTTTAATGACACTCTGCACCAATTTTTCATCATGAAAACTGTCTCCCATCAGATTCAACAAAGTGGAGCGAAATGAAAATAATTCCATGTCCTCACCGACTGCTACATAGTCAGTCTCACTTTTTAATGACCACTTCGTCTCCACCATTGCTGCTATCTGATGAGTAAAGAGGAGAAGCACATTAGAAAACATCGAGTCACAGTGAAGGGCCAACAAAGTTTAAGCTGAGAAGGCTACCTCGCATTATTTTCTTTCAGGTCTAGAGAATTTGGAGCCTGAAAATATCATAGATATTGGAAATCTTCTATGACAGTGTAATTATATTCTTCAACTCAATAAGATTCAACTATAATCACAACAATCTCCTTGCTGGGCACATTAATCCGACGGTTCTGGCCTTGACTCGTTGTAAAGGAAATTGATTAATTCCATAAAGTATCCGAGAAAATGCATTCAATTAAAAAATGGTCAAGCACGTTACCTCTTCAAATTTAGGAAAATATTTCTTGAGACTCTCATGAGAAAATGGTCGGCCATAGATCTTTCTCCTCCTTCGTGCTTCTGGTCCATTGGCAAACTGTAGAGATTGGCTTCCGAACAGCGGTTCAAAAAACCAAAACAGGTTAACTGTATCATAAACAAATCATGATAGAATATTAGACAAAATTGAGAATAAGAAATATGCAGTTCAATCTTAAAAAGTGTTTGATTTAATAACTAAGTAAACGTTTTCGGTGTTTCTAAAAATGCTACTCTAATAAATCTTTTTTATATCTGTCAACTCTGTAGCGTTCAATCAACAAGCAGACCTCTGTCTTATTTCACTACTAGGTGCATGATGTTGTCAAGGTTTTCTGTGAACTTATTTCGAGGCCTCTAATACCAATAATGGTCAAGCTATCAAATGATAACTAGCTAGTCGTGCCAGGGGTGAGGTTGGATTTTTTTGGAAAAAAAACCTTTTTGTTGTGGAGTACCATCCCATGTACATTGTACATTTAGGCAAGTGTCAATTTTGACTCTATTCAAAAAGAGCCTGAAAATTCATTTCTTTAACAACTAATTTGTAATTTAAATCATCTGTGAACAGATTTTATTATTACTATGTCCATAATATATTACACGCATGTAATAACATTTTTTACCCACTACTTAATTTGGGGTGATTACTGGTCTACTATGTAATGAGATGACATTCTTTTTGTAACCCATTCTTGTTTTCTCTTGGAATTGTCGACCATAACCAGACTTTCCATGTCTAAATATGTATAAAATTTAAGTGTATGCTGATTTTCGTTTTTGACCATATACCTGTTCATTGTAACAGTGGATTTTTATCAACGTACGAATAAGTCGACCTGTGTGTAATCTTTTTAGTAAAGGTTTTTTCTTTAACTTTTCGAGATGGTGCATGGTTCTATCTTGCCTGTTTTATTGTTGTCACGTAGGGCATCTCGTCAGGATGAAAATAGGCAGTGTAAATGCAACTTGTGATTATGTTACTGAAATTCAAATGATGCAGGTGACTACAAATGTGCCTTAAGTAGGCGTATGCCCGAACCCAATTTACGAGGGGCATACCAAAAGTTTTTTTTACCTGACCTGAAGGAAAAAAGGTAGAAATCTGAAATTTGGGGTGAAAACCATCGATTATCGTCCTAGAAAGTGTGTACATTTTGGGGAATTTCCAATCATCAGTTTTAACGCCAGCGCGCTGTAAGTGAATGGGGGTATGTTTGTCTACAGTTTCAACATAGCAGTAAAGAAGTTTTTGTTCTTGCAAGATACTTTACGGAGATGCATGCAGGGGGCTCCCGTGGCCTAGAGGTTAAGGTGTTGGCCTCTCATTCAAAGGTCCCGGGTTCGAATCCGGGTAGCGACCGAAAAGTTTTCTTCTCTAAAATTGTATCCTCATTTCCTGCTCTCTAGCAATGTTCTGTCGTCTGCTTTCGTCTCCTCTTTCTGCCCCCACCCCCTCACCTCCTTTGCCCCTTCCTCTGGGCTCCTGAATCTTTCAGCAGCCTTTCTACTGCTACCCCTTCGCTTCTTCTTACTGCTGTCTTTCAGCCACACCCCTGATCTTCTGGTAGGAAAGATCTACACCTAGCCTTCTCGGACAAGGGCGAAACATCTCGGAGGGCCCGTGTGCAAGTTGCACACGTTAAAGATCCTTTGGTGGTCTAAAATCGATAAGAGTAGGCTTCGGCCGGCACCGGGGCAAAATTCAAAATTTCCTACCAACTAAAAATATTAGGTTTGTCCCGTGCGCTCATATGACCTTGTGCAGTTGCGAGCGCCGTAAAACACTTTACAAAAACAAAAATGAGATGCATGTCGTTTATGGAAGTGATTGCCCATCCTATGCTGTGATAAATTTTAGTGTACAAAATTCTTATGTGGATTCATGGATATTGAAGATGACCACCGTGATGGTCGCCTAGCAACAACAGAAGAGAATGTGTTGAAAATCAAGAAAGTTGTGTTGTCTGATAGGCAGGGGACAGTCGAACGTTTGAGCAAATAAACTAGGCTTAGCATTGGATCAGTCGAACGAATCTCAAACGAATATTGGAATATGGTCAATGTTTTTGTGAGATGGGTGCCACGTTTGTTGACTCCTCAAAAAGTGCAATGGTGGATTTATGCCAAGAATTGCTTGGTCGTCTGTATGAAAAAGGTGAAACTGAATTTTTTTAAAGACTTGTAACCATGGGTGAGACATGGGTCCAACACTACGATTCTGAGTCAAAATCTGCATCAATGTAGTGGAAATCGCCCTCGTCTCCAACACCAAAGAAGGCAAAGGTGCAGCCATCAAGTGGACCAGTGATGCTTTCACTTTTTGGGGACCAAGAAGGAGGGATTATGACAGACTATCTTGAAAATGGACATACGATCACCGGAGACTATTATTCTAACAAGTTTTTTTTAAAAGTTACGCTAGGGTATAAAATAAAAACGCAGAAGAAAGATCCGAAAAGGCATTTTGCTGCTTCACCACAACGCGCCAGCACACATTTCAAGAAAAGCTGCAAAAGCTGCACGCGAAAGTGGCTATGAAATGTTGCTACATCCACCTTATTCTCCAGATTTAGCCCCGTCCGACATTTTCTATTCCCCAAATTGAAAAAAGATATAAAAGGAAGGCATTTTGAAAGTGATGTTGAGGACAAAGAAGCTGTAGAAGGCTGGTTTTCTGACAATGAGAGGGTCTTCTATTCTCAGGGTCATTTCAAGGTCATACACCAATGGCAAAAAAGTATAACTGTTGGAGGCGACTACCCAGAGACAGATTAAGGGTAGTACCAAATTTCAGCTTTCTACCTTTATTCCTTCATGGTCAGGTAAAAGACTTTTGGTATACCTCTCGTATGTGCTCTGACTTATTTTTAAACGATAGCACGAACTGAATTTATTTTGTTCTTGTAAGTCTAAAACACACAAAAAATGATTTCCAACAATTCATAGACACTTTTTAATCAGAAAAAAGTGAAATAAGTTACTAGCCACCACATCCTCTATGAGACGTGGCTATTGTGAAAACTTGAGGCGTTTACTTTCTTTATTATTATTTAAACTAATAAGAGTTAGCAATTTCTAAAGTCCACATATAGTCTATTCTCAGATATAATAATAATACTTGTGGAGAGAAGGGGTATAGCATAAGCGAAGGCTGACTTGTTTGACAGGGTAATCAAAGTAAGACAAAGGAACAGAAAGAGATGACGTCACACATGAAAAACGTTCCCACAACAGGAACATAAGTATCAACACTTCTTATTCAGGGCAACATCATTGGGTTGTAACTGACAACAAATCCTGAATTTCATATATTGAATGTTCAGTGTCAACTTAATCGAGAAAATATCTCATAAATTAAAATGTATTCCAACTTTGGCCAAAACGCAAATATAATTATTAAATATGCGTGGTCTCAAGAGTTTATAATAGACGAATGTAACAAAGGCGTAAATTCACGAAAAGAAGACAAACAAATCAGGGAAGATAATGCTGCAAATGTGTTGTCATTTTGACATAGAATTTAGCTGTCTTTATCTAGTATTTCGAGGCCAAAAGCCGGTGGTATTGTCATGCCATGACTGTCAGTCTGATTGTAAGCTTACGTAATCAGTGCATGTGACTGAAAGGGGTCAACATGGTATTAATGTGGCAATAAAACCGTTTCGAGTCTTGTGCACACTACACATTGGGGATTTTCTGAAGGTCTGTTAGAATTTTATAAGGCCAAAGTCTATCACGGTTTATGGGTTAATTTGATTTCGACGATGTTCCCAAACTAAGGAAGGGAAGCAGTGATTATTTGATTACGCTTCGTCTTTGGGTATGACATGCTGAGTTTCTTTAACTGGTTGAGATTGTTGGTACTCAATGCTATTTTTGACAGTCATTAAATCACTACTAAAGAACTGTCAATTTGATTGCACTTTATTAAATGCTTACCAGGTTTGTCAAATACATTGGCATGGGCTTTGAACAGTTCAGGTGAAGCAATGCTGACCACATAGGTCTGTCTCCACCAGAAACCAGCAATGTCTCCATACTGGCTATGTAGGTCAAGCAGAAACTCATGCAGACTGCCTGCACGAGCGATATCACTGAAGTTGCCATCTCTGGGGGGGGGGGGATTAAAATGTACCCTCAACAGAACAGATAGCAGTCGTTGTTTCAGTGTTTGTAAAATGACAGCTTGAACTGTGTGTTTCCCAGGAAGTTGAAATTGTTTTAGAATGATATCAGGTCTGCTAGAATAATAACTAAGACTTACAAAGCTTGCAGTTGAGCGATGATTTGCACAACACAAATGCTATAATAATAATAACAATAATAATAATAATCTTAATAATGATACGAATCTTACTACTAATGGAGCTAAGGCCAAATTTTGCGAACAGTATATTCTCAAAAACTACCGAATTAAAAAATATGAAACTTTGCCAGTACCCATAACTTGAAACGTAGTGTTGCACTAATGTATTTTCATTAAGACCAATTGTGTAAGAAGAAAGCCCAGTTTAAGTTAAATTCAGTCCTTTTGTAGCGATCGCCATCATTTGCTTCGACATTGTATATTCACTGCGGAGTGCCGACTGCGCCAAAGGGTATTTTGTGTTCAACTGTACATAAAGTAGATTTACGGGAATTCACGGTTTCGGTCTCACGCCTTTAGGAGGAGGAGGAAGATGAGGAGGCGGAGGCGTGGATGGAGGAGGAGGAGGAGGAGAAGAAGAAGAAGAAGAAGAAGAAGAAGAAGAAGAAGAAGAAGAAGAAGAAG